TATGTATATGTATGTATGTATGTATGTATGTATGTACGTATGTACCTACATATGGTATGGTATGGTCTGGTGTGGTGTGGTATGGTATGGTATATATACACGGATGCATGTATGTACGAGTGTGTGCATATATATATATATATACATGTATATATATATATACAAACACCTAAAAATCAACATCTATATACATATAAACTCACCCCAAACGTGCATTGGTGCATACATCGTTTTATACTAGTGTAACATATAACATACTTGTGCAAGCCGTGAAACTTTCCAAACCGGTATACATGTTGTGCAGAAGCTAGTGTCTATGCATCTGGCTATATGTGTGTGTATGCTTGTATATGGTATGTGCGTACATACATACACATATATATATATGGCAGGAGATATATCTGGCCAAAAGTTGGATCAAAGCAACAGAACGCAGCTTGAGTTCAGGTCGTACGGAGAGAATGTCAACACCTGCTCAAAGGTGCAGTCCCTAGAAACTTTGCCCCCTCTGCGATGTGGACACAGTGGCAGTGCGACTGCGAAGGTTTGCGGAACTTCAAGCAGCCATGAAACTGCACTCCTAAACGATGAGCGCAGAACCCAAAGATGCAAGAAATGACACTACCCAACCTCCCCCCAGCTGCATCCGAGCTTTTTTTGCAGTCCCAGGACTACTGTAAGACCCCAGGCCGAAGCGGAGCTTCAACACCCTCCTTTACAATGGGGAGCCTGCTGTGAAGAGCATCTGGCAGCAAGAGGCGCTGGAGACCAGAATGCTCAAAGAGTTGAGGACCTGAGTCACATTAGGGGTTTAAGGGTTTAGGGTTTAGGGTTTAGGGTTTAAGGCTACGTCACTTTTGCCAGACTCTTTGCCTTCGTGCAGCAGTTTTGAAGTAGTTGGAGGGAATTTGGATTGCGCGCTCATGCACTCTCAGCGCAAACACCTGCAACTGATAGTGGGGAGTTGTAAGTGGTAGTCGGACCGGTGACGACTATCACTACCGCTAGCTACACTGCGACTTCTACGACGACTACACTACTGCCTCCATTGCATTCACTGCCGCCTGCACCAGCACCAGGGGTCGCAGCAACCCCAGCTTCCCAACTGCCACCCCACCGCAGCAATCTCCATCACGACCATGACAAGACCGTGATGACTGGCAGGACAACAACCACCACGATGATGAAATTCACACCTACCACTGCGACCATGATGAATTAAGAGGACACATTTCATTCTTGCTCCGTGACTGGCTGGACTTCTGGCGGCTGTCACGAAGGTAGGCTGCTACGACTGAAAGGAGCAGCCTCTCTGGTTTCTGCACAGAGCAGCAAGGGGTGGAATTCGACCTAAACTTCCAGAGCAAAACCCTTCGCTGCAAGCTGCTCGTTCATCTGAGCCCCCAGGAAGAGGAATCGATGGCTTACGTGTAGCCCTCTAGAATTCCATACGACCACTATTTACCCCAAAACATGAATGCACTTATTGGAGCCCCTTAGGTCCCAAACCGACCTCCTGAACTGAAGCGTCAGCAACCCACGACCTGGAAACAAGGATCCACGCCGACCAGACCAACGCATGTTCGTGTCCTTGGTCCATTGGGAGTCTTAGAAAAATCAGGGGCCCTAGTATATAGGCGTCAAACAATAGAACCCCGAATAAGCATATGAGGCCCCGAAAAAAGGCAGCGATTTTGCAAATCCCTTATGCTGCGATCTGTGGCGAGGCTACATCTACCAGTTGCCAAACATTTGCAGGGCGAGATGAGGAAGCTTGCAAAGGACTTCAGCGATTCAGTGTCCTCTTCGAAAGCTTTTTGGGCAATCAGGATGCCAAGTCCCGAACCACGAAGTTCCGAGTAAATGATGCTGGACAATGACATCTTGGAACAGCAGCGAAGTTGCCAAGTACTTGGTTTGTGATTGTCGGCTGAAACATCTCATCGCGTCATGGCTCCGCTCTTGCATGCCAAAACTTCCACGCAACCATGGACGGTGACTGAAACTTCTGCACACGCGCAAGAAAACGAATGAACAATAATGAGTTTCTCAAATTCTAGTGTTCCACTTGGGGCACATGCCTCTCCTGTATAGCAGGAGCATGGTACACGTGCGCAAAAATTTGTGTATGTATGTATGCATGCATGTATGTATGTATGTATGTTTACGTACACGACATACATATATACACATGTATGTTCCATATTCTTGCAACCGGGCCATATGTTCGTCTAGACTTGTATCCTCATCCGTATCCATGCCAAAGTCCTTCTGATGCAGTTCGATATGTACTCACGAACTGCAACATTTTATTGTAGCTTATTGTGTTACACTTCATTGTTTAAGTTGCATGGAGTCAAGCTGCACTAGTCTTTACGATTCCCCAGACTCTACATATATATATATACATGTATATATGTATATAGATATATAGACACGATACAATTAGAACATGATTGCTCTATCTAGTTCAGCACGATATGTGGTGGTAGGTTAGCTTGCTCCAAGTAGCTCCGCATGGCTCCATCCAAGGCATTGAACAGTGTCTCCACAGCACGACTGAGCGACAGAGCTTAGATGCAACGGATTGCTGTGCACTAATTTGGGACACTTGGGTGTTTTTTGTCTTTTTTCTGCATCCATGCAGGATAGCTTACTGGCCCAGCTAGGCCAACCAAAAGTGTTTTTTAGATTGTCTGCTTCACTGAGTCGGTATAGTATCCCAGAAAAATTAAAGTTTATAGACCCAGCTAGAAAGATCGCAAGAACCAGATGTATTCATGTCATAGCAAGGACTGTGCAGCAATGTCGGTGAATCAAGCCCAAAACTGGGGATGAGAAGGAGTGCTCAGGGGTTCAGGTTGACTTCTTCGGGCTTTCGGTTTTAGAGTCTAGGAATTCAGAGTTCGGGATGGAGGGCTGGAGTGTCCATGGATCTATCTGCGAGGTATGAGGGCAGGCGAAACCATGTGAGTTGATCGATGACAAGCCATATCAAAACCAAACGGCATTTGCAGCAAGACCAGACTAGAAGATATGCAAGCCCCTGCGTATAAAGATACACTGTAATTACTTCTGCATCATTACCACATATGTACATCTACTTACATACATGCACATATATACATGTAAAAAACATATGTACGAGGTAATGTCTACTGTCCCTATCCATTGAGCACTGGTTTCGAAGATGATTAGCTCTGACCCAGGCACAAACCGAGGGCGTGGCTCCGACTGTGCGGAATGCTTGGAGAGCTTGGCCAGGGCACCCATCCTATGTGCTATGAGACCCTACGCCCTACCTCTAGGTTCCGGGGAAAACCATAGGCCCTAAACCGGTATTACATCGTAATATATAGAACTAAATGGTAACATATAATCATAGAACTTAATATACAATAAAGATAATACTATCTGGCCGTAAACAGTGTTAAATAGCCTTATATCGCATTATACAGTAATATACGATTATACAGTAGTATATAGTACTAGATGGTATATACAGTATTGTTACAATATTAGGCAATATTACATAGTACTACATAGTACTGTATAGTTTTTTAGTATAATAAACGGTATTACCGCACTGACTCGGAATCCTAAGTTCACCGAGAAGGACAAGACCCGTGCCTCGACAACTGCAGCGACAACTCAAAACTTTAACCCTAAGCCCCAAACTCTAAACATCTCTACACTAGTACTGGTAGCAGCTTCAATCGCACAAGGACACAACGAGCTTGACAAACACCCAGACTTCACAATAGCAACCAACGGACAAAACATTCATGCCTTCATGCATGCTTCGACATGTGCATGGGCGTCCCGCTATCGGCACCAGCCTGCAAGACTGCACCCCCCGCAGGGGAGGCCACCTATTTACACAATGTAGCTGCGGATCCACACCACGCTTCAGGCATCAATCACTACTATGAACTAATCACCATCACCCCCAAAAGCAACAGCAGCAGCGCCACCACCAGCATCAGCACCAACACCATCTACAGCAGCAAGAAGCACCCCAACTGCCAGACGACTACCAACCACAACAGCAGCAGCAGCAGCAACAGAATAGCGACAGCAACGACAACAGCAACCACCACAACAACAACAACAACAGCACCAGACCGATCAACAGCGACAGCAACAGTATCTTCATCACCATTATCGTCATCATCATTATCACCCTCCACAACAACATCATCTTTATCATCGCCACTAGCATCATCGAAATACTCGTCAACAACATCGTCATCGTCGTGTTTGTCCTCATCGTCCTCGTCATCATCACCTTTATCATCATCACATCGTCGCCATGATCATCGTTAGCGCCACCGTCTTCATCGGCATCATCATCATCATCACCACCATCATCATCGCCATCATCATCATCATCTTCTTAATCATCCTCTCCCTCGGAATCTCACGCACCTTTCAGCCCTCAGCCTCTGAACCCTTAACTTGCCTCTGGTTGAGATCTCCGCGGTTGGACAGAAAGAAATTCATGGCCTTACAGCGATGGCATCCGGGTTGGCAACCAACGAAGTACAGTACATGTAAGCCAATATTGCTTACATATTCAAAAGGATCCGTCATATATATATATATATGCACACATATAGATATATGATGTACGTAGAAGTTGCACTTGGAAAGTTGGAAAGCGGGACACATTCTCAGTGTTTCAACGCAGAAGTTAAGTTATGCATCTCTCAGCAAAAGGAAGGGGATCGGCATGCTTCTTGAAGCCCCGGAGCTTTCAAAGACCGAAATCAAATCCCACATCCGACACTTCAACGGCTTAGGCTTTAACTTTTAAATTTAGGATTTAGGATTTAGGGCTGAACCACTGCTCCCTCTGTAGTGTTTACACAAAACGATCGACTTGCCCCAAACCTACAGGGTGCTATTCCGGACAGCCAGCTCTTTCAACCAGCCCTTGTTTTGCATCCTGTAACTTTGCATGCGTGCAGCACCACACGAGCGCAAGACGCGGATCTGAATCATGCTTCTACCGGCAGCAGCGGCAGCATTGCGTGTTCTGCACGACCTCCAGGCCGCAACTTGCCGATCCAAGGCCGGAAAGACACGGAGTCTTCTGCTTCCTGGACGATGCTCAGAGACTCCTCCGGAAGTATCCGGGCATCACTAGCTACAAAGCTAATAGCCCAGGCCACCCGTGGGCTTCTTGCCGACCTATCCAAGGGCGAGGCTGCGTGCAATGTCCAGCCGTGGTGCCATGTTGCATCGCCGGGCTCTAAGTCGGTGCCTTCTGCTATAAGATAACGGCTGCTCAAATCGTCCTGCGTGTAGCTTTCTGCAAGATCGCTATGATACTGGAGAGTATAGTCACGGTGGCTGCCCTGAGCAAACCGGAGTCCCGCGCCCCCTTTGGCTGGGACAGGGGTCAAAGCGAGCCACACCGTCACGAAAGCGTTCGTGTCGAAGGGAGCCAAGGCAAGGTCGGAATGCCAGCGTGTTGGGCCATGTCGGGGGTACTTCATGAACAGTGCATCCTGGTAAAGGCGAACCTGAGAGACACCTAGCAAGCGAGCTGCCCACAAAGCCAGGCGAGGAGATAGAGCAGCTCGGCGCAAGAGAGCACTGTGACGATGCAAGTTGAAGTATTGCAAAAACTTCACCTTCCCTGACTTCTCATATTTCTGCAGCATTTCCTTGCAGTCCTGCGTTGTGCGGCAGGATCTCGCGAGAGCTGGGGCAACATGCTGCCTCAACTCGTGCTGCAGAGCTGCCATCTCGCAGATTTCCAAGGACTGGACATGTGCGAGTTCCTGGGCTAGTGAAGAAGCCTCAGGCACAGTCAAGAACGAGGGCACATGGCAGAAGCCATTACGTTCGAAGCGAAGCTGCATCTCCGCACTTGTCATCTCGCGATCTTCTGGTCGAGCTGACCAAAGACCTTCAGGGCTGTGTTCTGCTCGAAGGATGACGCCGCATCTATCTCGTGTCCTCAGCGTCCCTCGCGGAAGCAATGAGAACGCTCCAAATGCAAGCTGACCAGCAAGGCAGTTGCTAAGTAGTGCAATCTTGAACCACAGTGTCGGCTGTAGTCTGTGAGCCCTGGAGCTCGAAAGTTGTGCGGAGGCTGCCGCGCCAGGGGCATACCGACCACGACGCATGGCTCACGCTGGGCTCAAACTCTGGGATAGAGGGCGGCTTAACATTTTCTAAACTTCGAGATCTTGAGATTTTGTCTGAGGATGGTGATCCCTAAACCCTAAACCCTAAATCCTAAATCCTCTGAACCCTACAGTCCCTGGAAGAAAGGGGGAGTAGAGGAGCCTGCTCTGCACTTATGCGATGCATCTGTGCACTGGGGTTGTGCTCCGGAAAGTCTGGCGGCTTAGGGCTTTGGTTTAAATATTTAGGGTTTAGGTTTAGAGTTTAGGGTTTGGTGTCCTAAAGCTTATAGGGTTTAGGGTGTGGGGTCTGGGGTTTAGGGTGCTTATATAGCTTATAGAGAGCTAAAGAGTGTCCAAAGCATTGTCAAAGGATGTGCTGTAAACTGTCCAGGTGCCATCATCTGCCACAAATATTCAAGCAGCGCGGAATCCGAAAAAAAATTGCTTCAAAGTCCCGAGACTAGTAACAGTGCCTGGGAGTGGAGAACGGCGGAGCATCTCTTACGTGGTATACGAGGAACACTGTTACAGAGTCCTCAGAGCAGGGCTTCTGCCTGTGTCTGTCGTATATAGGGTTTAGGGTTTAGGG